CACCACCATCACCACCACCACCACCACCATCACCACCACCACCACCACCGCATAACCTGAGCATCATGGAGCACACTATAATCCCAGTACTGGGGAGAGGGGGGCATGGGAATCAGAGTCACTTGCTACATAGAAAGCGGCAGGCCAGCAGACAAGGAAAGCAGGACTAGGATGTCTCCCCGCTATGTTTGGTCCTTCTGTGGATAACAAATGAAAACTGTCCTGCACAGAAGGGAGTCTCTGACAGTTATACTTCAATGTGGCCACTGTGGTAGAGGTGGGGTACCAGAATATTGCCCACGTGGAACCTGTCACAGGAATAGTTCAGGAACTCTTGTACCTGGGATTCAAGAAGGGCAGGTGTCAGGTTTTACAAACAAGGCAGATTCTAAGGCCCAGTCATTCACTTCTCTACCCACCGAGGGCCGCAGGGACCTGCCACTGTACTGTTTTCTCTCACATTCTTCTGTGTAGCCAATAAAAGGAAAGAACAGCTCATCTACTCCAGGGATGTGGCTCAAGTTGAAGGCGTAGAGGCAGCCTAAGACCTTCACAAGCAGTGCTAGCATTGTCTCTAGATCCTGTAAGCCTCACTCCCCTAAATTCTTAGAGAGACTAAGAATCAGAGTGTTTTAAACTCTTTTAAAAGTGAGTTCATCTAAGGCTGGAGAAATGGCTTGGCCCCCACATCAGGAAGCTCACAACTGCCTGTGATTCAAGCTCCAGGGGATATGAGGCCCCTTGACGGGTACTGCACTCAAGTACACGTACACACTGACATGCATACATATCGGGTACAATCACGTATACATAATTAAAAAGAAAAATACATCTAAAAAACTAATAAAATAAATAAAATGGAATTAATTTGCTCTGATTAAATTATCCTTTCTCTTAAGGTAATAAGAAAAGTCTGGGCTCTGACTGAAAATTGATGTCTGTATTGCTTTTTACCCCTCCAGAGCACTGACCCTATATACAGTGGCTTGGGGAGGGGCCTCTGCTGCCATTTCTTCCTCTTGGGTTAAAAAGACATGGGCTAGAGCTGGGAAGCAACTGAGCCCCTTAGAGGGTGGAAGGCCTCTCCCTTCACTGCCTCCCACCTGGTGCTGGCTAGGGTGCTGAAATAGTTGACCAGGTGGAGGCAGGTCTGCAATGAGTCTGACCTCCCAGCTGCAGCCCAAGGTTTCCATTAATCTCGGCCCTGGGCCACCAAGTCTATTTATTTCCAGAAGAATAGGTAATCGATCCAAGTTTTTCTGAGGAAAACCCTCCCTGTGCATTTCCTAATGAGAAGCCAGTAGGAGGACTTGCTGCCTCTGCCCTTCTCATAGACCATGGGGATCAAGAAGAGAACCATCTCTCAGCCCAGGAGGCTCCCAAGCCTTGGCACACTTACCCTTGGCCCACAGAAGGACCAGCAGGTTTCTGGGGCCATCTGAGGAAAGGGAGGCAATTGTCACTATCATCTTCATCACCGTCGTTTGACCTATCTCCAACATACTTTTTTGATATTTTAATTGATTCTCTTGACATTTAAAAATAAAAATTAAATTACTTGTATTTGTGTGTGTGTGTGTGTTTGTGTGTGTGCGTGCGCGCGCATGCGTGCATGTGTGTCACAGTGCATTTGTGGAGGTCAGAGAACCACTTGCAGCAATCAGTTTTCTCCGTCCACCATGCAGGTCTCAGGGACCAAACTCTGCTTTTCATGATTGGCTGGCAATTGCCTTTCCCCATTGGCCCCTCTAGCCAACACCTGCAACTTTATAGCATAGTTACACTAAGTCTCCATGCAGAACCACTAAAACAGCTGAAATGTTGCCCCCAAAGAAACAATTATCAGAGGCAATATGGTGGCAATCTGAAAGTCCTGGACATAATATTACATCTGTGGGTCTCTGGGGAGAAGTCCCCAGTGAAGGGGAGGCAGGAAAGGGACTGATTTTCCAGCCATGAGTTTGATCATGGAGAACTGGGGTAGAATATGGGAGTAGTAAGGATCCCAGCCTGAGCTATCAGGTGCTGGGGAGTCAGCAAAGGAAGGAAACTGACCAACATCCATGGTCTCCAATAAACCAAGGGCATTTGGGGAGAGGCGCCCAGCAGGCTCCCTACTGTGCAGTGCTGATTAATACCTCAGGGCTCTTCCTAATCAGTTGATTCTTGATGGGCTGAGAGTGGGAAGGAAGCAGAGGAGTGGGGAGAAAGGTATGGGGCAGGGCACTGATGGCTGGTATCCCACCAGCCCCAAATTGACAGGCTCCCGGACTGTAATCCAGCTATCAGAACCCTAAACACCTATCTTCTGCTCTGCACAATGGAGTGGACCTGTCTTAGAGTGTAGGTGTGAGGTAGAAGGCATGATGGGATGGGATGACAAGCAGGAAATCTCTAGTCAAATGTAACAGTCAGCCAGGACCACTTGGGTCTTTCTTGGATTCTCTGGGCTCTTGCCGTTCACTCTGCTCTCTCCCACAGGAATTCCAGATGGAGCTGCCCACCTGCTCCACACAGGCGAACACAGCAGGGAAAGCTGATCCATGAAATACTGACCAGAAGCTAGACATGGTTGTTTTATTTACAGCCTGATATTAACTGCTGCCTGATAAACCTTTAAAATGATTGCTTGAAGCAATAATAGCTGCTTGTCTTTCTCGTGAATCTGAGGGTTGACTGGGCTCAGCTGGGAGTTCCTACCTCAGAACTCTCCCCAAAGACAATCCCACAGCATACCTGAGAGGCAACTGTCTCACTGAAGCAGCCGGTGGCCAGTGCTTGCTGTCACAGTGCATCCCAATGTGCAATCCTCCCATCAAGGCAGCTGCCATCTTCGTCAGTAGTGCCTGCTTTCAAGAGTCTCCATGGGATTTACTCATCCCCTCATAGGAGGGGGTAAGGAGAGTCACTGCCCTCACCTGAGCTTCCAGATACTTCCCCAACTGTTTGTATTCAGTCCTACCCTAATTGCTCCTAGTTGCATGGGTCTCAGGAAGATGCTAGAGTATATCAGGTTAGGAAAATTAGCATAAGGGGACCCACCTGTGCCACTAATGGGAAAACCATCATCTACATTGGGTGAAGCCTTTCCAGTGTGGCTGCCTTGGGGTCACCCACGCTTCTGTTAGGAACCCTTCACCCATGCTTTGCAAGCCTAATAAACCCACTGGTTCCCCAGAGTGAACTTGGGTTTGTCATTGGGGCCTTAGAAGGAGAAGGCAGACATTATTTCCATCTCCCCATGGAAGGAATTCTCACAAAAGAGCCCCCTGGGAATAGCTGCATGGCTCCTCCTGCACTGTGCCTCTCTCATATCTGGCTGGTGTTCTATAGGAAATAAACAGAGAGAGACAAGGAGACAAGGAAAGGGAGGGACAGAGACAGATGATAGGTAGGCAGAGGCAGGGGCAGAGACCAAGATGCAGCAAGGTGGCTGTCTAGCCCTTCTTTTGACCTAGCCTTAGAAGCCAGACAGCTGCTCTGTTTTCATTAGAAACAGTCATTAAGGGAAACCCATTCTCTGGAGAAGGAATGGCACTCTATCTTGTGGAGGGGATGCTGAAGACAACAGCAATGCTTTAGCCATACACAGCCATCCCAGACTCTGTCGTTAGTCTCAATGCACAAACGGAGACAGGGAGGATTAGCATGAGAAAGCCTCATTCTCTGTACAAAGTTTTTAATTAAAGAGAGATATGTGATCCTAGCTTTAGGAAAAACAGTGCAGCCACTAGGAATCTTTTGTTCAGTAGGGGATAGCCCTACCAAAAAGCTAGTGTGACATAGTCCTGCTGTCAGGAACTATAGTCTGAGGGAGACCTGGTCCATCCTCAGGGTACCTAGTCACAAAGAAAACAATTTCAGTCTTGTGGAATGACAGGAACTTGTAAAGCAGGATCAGTATAGAGTTTTATTTCCAACTCTGCCAATAACTGGGCTGGCCTGTTTCTCCATGAACCATGACAATGGACATCTAGCACAGCCAATTTTTCAGGTCTTATATTCAGACAGTGGTAGCACATGCCTTCAATGCCAGCATTCAGGAGGCACAGGCAAGCAGATCTCTGAGTTCAAGGAAAGTGTGGTCTACAGAGCAAGTTCCAGGACAGCAAGGGTTACACAAAGAGAAACCCTGTCTCAAAAAAACAAAACAAACAACCACAGACATGTTGGGGCCAATGCCCTCTATTCAGGGCTAGAGAGGTGGCTAGGGGTGTAAGACCTCACCACTCTGGCACATAATCCAGCTCCAGGGAAATCCAATGTTCAGTTCTGGCTCCCATGGACACTGGCGTACACTTACACAGACATGCAGATAAATAAAAAACAAATAAATCTTCAACCCTGCCAGTTAATACAATGTGTCAGGAGCATAAGTTAGGTAATAAATAGAGAGCCCTGTGGTTTCTAGGGGGTAGTGTGAAATGGGGTGAGAACCTCATCCCTCAGGCAGACACCAGACCTGGGCTCTTGCTCAGCACACCTTCTGTTCCTGTTCAGCCTCCTGTCCTTCAGCATAATGGGACTCTGCAGTGGGTAGAGAGAAGGATCAAACAGGTATTGTTGTACAAATATCTGGGGCTGGAAGCCACAGGAGCTGCAAAGAGAGGAGTTTTCAACTAGGCCCTGCTCCTCTGCCTGTCCTCACTATGATCTGCAGTTAAGTCCACATTCTACCTTGAAGACCCCTCACAAGGATGAATG